AAAGGGGACGGGAGTTGAGGAAACGTTGTTCTAGGTCAGCCATAAAGATATTAGCATACTGTGGGGCCATGCGTGTACCCATGGCTGTGCTGCTGATCTGGAGGTATAAGTTGTTCTCAAACTGGAAATAATTGTGGGTGAGAACGAAGTTACATAGGTCTGCTACCAGATTGGCAGTGGTGTCCTCTGGGATAGGCAGTGGTGTCTAATTTTCCATTGCTATCATGTGCCGAAAGTGTCCGTCTGCTATGTACATTGGACAAATGTCTCAGACACTTCGCCAAAGAATCAATGCCCACAAAACAGACATTAGACAGGATCACAAAGAAAAAACAGTTGCTTGTCATTTCAACCAGAAAGGACACTGTCTCAATGACCTGCTAACCTGCATCCTACTTCAGAAGACATTCAAATCTGCACTTGAAAGGGAATCCTCTGAACTGGCATTCATGCTAAAATTCGACACTCTCCGCAGGGGACTTAACAAAGACGCTGTTTTACCTTCCCTTCCCCCCCCCCCTTCCCCCGCAACCTCCTTCTGTTCTGAAATTTGATTTGTCCTTTTCATATGTGTTCATTTTATTTTTTTTAATTGTATCCTTTGGTATATATGGCTGTGACTATTTTCTTCCACTATTTGATCTGAGGAAGTGGGTCTGGCCCACGAAAGCTCATCATCTAATAAACCATCTTGTTAGTCTTTAAAGTGCTGCATAGTCCAGTATTTTGTTTTATTTAGGCAGAAGTTAGTTGTACTGTTTTGGCATCACTGGCTGAATTAGGAATTGTTAATTGTATCCTTTGGTATATATGGCTGTGACTATTTTCTTCCACTATTTGATCTGAGGAAGTGGGTCTGGCCCACGAAAGCTCATCATCTAATAAACCATCTTGTTAGTCTTTAAAGTGCTGCATAGTCCAGTATTTTGTTTTATTTAGGCAGAAGTTAGTTGTACTGTTTTGGCATCACTGGCTGAATTAGGAATTGCCCCACCAACAGTAGATTGACTTTTTCAGCTGTATCTCATAGGAGGATTGTAGAAGCAAATGAAGACCAATATAGCATGATCACCCAGAGAGCTCAGGACAACGACATGTTTTCTTTTCTCTAGGCCTGTGAACAATGGAGATGACACCAGAGTAGATGCCTTCTGCACCTACAGAAATGAATCGACCATGTCCAGGTTTGACAGAGTGAAGGTTTACCATGAGCTGAGCAACAAAACTAATGGAATCACCAAGTTAGGACCCTACATCCTGGACAATAACAGCCTTTATGTTAACGGTAAACACAGCTGGCTCCCTTATTGCTGTAATGATACAATCACATGGCCCAGAAAACGAATGAAAGAAATAGTGCAGAAAGAAATGATTTCAGCACGCATGAGCAGTGTTTTAAATGTGCCATTGTTTCTGTGAAAGTGCTTTGGATTCACCCTGCATACTCTCTGCCTCCAATTAAGCCATTTATCTCCACTAGCTTTAAGTTTAGATCAACACCCCTCCCCCCTTTATATTTAAATGAGAAGAAACTTGTAAGAGCTGTGAAGCGGCATTGAAAGCTGCAACTTGGTCTAACACGCATGAGCAGTGTTTTAAATGTGCCATTGTTTCTGTGAAAGTGCTTTGGATTCACCCTGCATACTCTCTGCCTCCAATTAAGCCATTTATCTCCACTAGCTTTAAGTTTAGATCAACACCCCTCCCCCCTTTATATTTAAATGAGAAGAAACTTGTAAGAGCTGTGAAGCGGCATTGAAAGCTGCAACTTGGTCTAACTCCAAGTAGGAATAATTTTCTTCCTGCTGTAGGCACATTAGACCCTAACTGCTTTGCATTAGTGAGGGGAGATAATAAATCTGGGGTCCTGCCGTGGAACGTTTCATTTATCAAGATGTCTCTGAATCAATGTCTCTTCATTCATCACCCGCCAGCCTCTCTAATTCTAGAATTGTTCTTTCCCTTTCCAGGTTACAACGCAGCACGTCCTTTGCCAAGTACGTATCTTTCAGAGCTGAAAAGCTGTAGAGCTTTGACAAGTTAGCATGCAAGAAATTGTGGCGATACCTTTTCCTTTGCTGATATTATAAAGGACGTAGAATTAGAAGCAAGGCACATATTTTTAACAGTGCCCAACTACAAGGACTGGATAGAGATGCTTTAATCCAGTGGTTCGGAACCCATGGCCCAAGTAGCACACAGCTGCAGCCCAGCTGTGTGCTGAACACAAATTCAAAATTTGCCAATCTAGTCTGTCGGGGTGCAGGGCTGGCCGAGATGGAAACTGCATCTCGCAGCCTGCACATGGACTCACAATGGGGTAACGCTCCCCCCGCAGGGCAGAAATCCCAGAAATCAAGGGCTCGTGCCCCCGTTCAGGTCCCACCATGCTCCTTTCGAGTGGGCATGTACATTTCAGCCTGTAGAGAACCAATGGTGAATTAGCGCTGCAACACAACAAGCCCTGTGGCTGTAGAGTGCGCCCATGCCAGCAGAACAGGGCTCCCTTAGTGCGTCATTGGCAGTAGCAGATGTGTCCTTATTAGCTCGCTACTTACGACTGGCTTTGTGCTTTTCTGCAGCTGTGAGGCCAGCCACAACTCTCCCTCCTTCGGCTGCACCAGATATGGATTTCACAGTGAACTTCACCATAACCAATCTCCCTTACAACTCTAAAACAGTCAATGCCACAAACAACGTTCTGACCCTTTTGGTGAGTCTCCATTCCTCACAGCCTTCCCTTGTTCCATGATCCACAGCATTTCGTTTTGTTATTTTTTCTTATGACTTATCGGTTCAAATCCTTTTTGGCAGCTTGACCGCCTGCTCAGGAACAGCAGCATTGGCCCTGCCTACACTGGCTGCAAGGTGATGGCATTAAGGTAAGGATCCTATGGCTGGGGACTTTTTGTTACACAGCACATTGGAGATTTACTCCCTTTTTGGCCTACAAGAGGATTAGAAATAGATGTTTCCCTAGTATTTAATTAATCCCTTCCTGCTTTCAGTTCCTTTTAAAGGGTATGTCTACACAGAAGAACTAGAGGACACCAAATGAAATTAATGGGTAGCAGGCTTCAAACTAATAAGCAAAAGTTCTTCTTCACACAGCGAGTAGTCAACCCATGGAACTCCTTGCCAGAGGAGTCTGTCAAGGCTAGGACTATAATAGAGTTTAAAGAGAAGCTAGATAATTTCATGGAGGTTAGGTCCATAAAAGGCTATTAGCCAGGGGATAGAAATGGTGTCCCTGGCTTCTGTGGGTATGTCTACACTACCCCGCTAGTTCGAACTAGCGGGGTAGTGTAGACATACCCAAAGTTAGTGGATTCTGTTAACCTTATTAGGCCATAAACAAAGTTAAATCCCTTTGGGATCCCTTAAAGTTGCTTTTTATTAAGAAGCCTGCTTCTGATCTTGCTTATAATGCCATTGATGCCAATGGAATTACTCCTAAGTTACACCCTCTGTAGTGAGATCAAAACCAGGGCGCTGTGTTTGAAAGTAAAGGTACACAGAAATACTACTGGAGCTTTCCCCAGTCCCTGCGTAACGTTAGGCCAGGTTCTGATTCCAGTCAGGGGCGGCTATAGGGCAGGGTGAGCGGGGCGGCCGCCCCGGGCCCCGCGCTTCAAGAAGCCCCGTGCATGCGCCATGTCAAAGGGGGGGCCCCGTGAAATTGTGCCGCCCTGGGCCCCGCAAAATCGTCATCTGCCCCTGATTCCAGTGACTTGGGTGTAACTCCACTCACGTGAATGGAGTTTACAACCAGGTCATTGGGAGCAGTTAGCTTTGGAGGAGATTCATTATGGACCACAGAGTTATTGCCCTAGGTGTACATCGCAGCATGAGCTCTGCTCTGAGCTCCGACACCGGCGTTCTTTCTTTCTTGTCGTCCTCACGTGGCTTGTGTTGCATTTCAATGAGAAGTGCAATTACAGCAAACCTCTGGTAGAATGGGACCTGCGTACTGTAATGCACATAGCTGTCCTTCCTGCCTGCACATCTGTAAGCAAGTGTACGCTTTCCTAGGCCTCTGAAGAATCAAGATGGCACCGGCATGGATGCAATCTGCACCTACCGAAACGAGTCTGCAGCTCCCACGTTTGATAGAGTGAAGCTTTATCATGAGCTCAGCAGCATGACAAATGGCACCACCACACTAGGACCCTACAGGCTGGATAACTCCAGCCTCTACGTTAACGGTAACTCGCTGTTCTCCTTTGCACAGGGATGAAAGGAGTTGAGTCACTAGTGGAGCATAGCTCGATCATGGAAACGTCCCTAAAGACATACTAGCAATAACAAGCCAGTCTGCCAAGCACCGTGAAGGCTGGAGGTGCTTAGTGACACAAGGCAAAGGAGCTCTACCACCAGGCTGGTGGGCCACTGAGATATTTTGCATTTTTCTCAGCTGAATAATGGGGCAGAACATAAAGCAGAAGTCAGCTGTGATCCTCTCCCTGGTGTCTTACACAGTCCCATGGCCCCGTTCTCAGGTCCTGCACCAGGACTGGGCTCAACTTAATTGCATAGAGCCCACTCACACAAGACAGAGTCCAAGCAGGATTGATGCAGCCAGAAGTTTTATGCTCTCCCCTCGGCACAGGAGTGACTGTCACTCGCTGCGCTTTAGAGCCAACAGAGCACGTCCATGAAACAAACACAGTGCATGTGTGCGCCCTCGTAGTGTACACATGGAGCAAGACCGTCCCCTGATGAGCACTATTGGGTAATAAATGTGCATACAGGGTCTGTCATGTGTCAGGCACATTCTGACATTTTCTGGGGGCTCGAGCCGGTTCTATGTGAGATGGACCCCAAGATATCGAACCCAGCCCTGGTTACTGCCAGGCCTACCCGGCACAAGGGTTACACAAGCAAATGAGATTTTAGGTTTCCCTAAGCTTCCCAACCTGCTTACTCAATATTGTCCCTTTTCTCTCCTCAGGCTACAATGAACCATACCCTGGGCCAAGTAAGTATCTTTAAATATCAATGGGCATTGAAGCAGTTGAGAGGGTGTTGGGCTTCGTCTAGCTAATGACAGACTGGCTGGAGTAAGCTAAAGACATTGCTGTCCACACAACCTGTGACAAGAAAAGGATGAAGGAGTCCTGTTTGGGAACCAGGGAACGTAGGTGTCCTGGGACATCTGCCGGGCCAGTAGATTTCTCGTTTAGTGTTTCCTTTAGGCAGGAGATGCAGTTTCTGTTTTCGGGCAATAATGTGACACCTTGTTTATTTCAGTTGTGACCCCAGCTACACAAATGCCACCACTAACAACAGAGCACTTTACCCTGAACATCACTGTAACCAACCTCCGATTCACTACAGATCTGGGGATGCCAGGGTCCCCCAAATTCACTTCGACGGAGAAAGTCATGCTTCATTATGTGAGTCTGCCTGAGCCATGTCCTGCCCGGAGTGGGGCTGTTTGATAGCTCGCATGCCTCTTCCTCCACAAGGCATGTTGATGCAACTTTTTTTCTTCTCTAGATCAATCCTCTACTCAAAAACAGCCGCATTGGCCCAGACTATATTGGCTGGCTTCCCATTTTCAGTTCTCTGAAGTGTTTATATTCAACATATTAACTTCTCCATGCGCCGATGTATTTCCTTTTTCAGAACTTTTGCTTTACATTGTGTATGTTTCAACAAAGCTTGCTTTATCTGTGTGGTGCCATTCAAATTCGTCTTCCTCTTCTTTGGAGCCTGCAGAATGGTTTCCTCGGATGCTTTGTTTGATGCTTCCCATTTTCAGTTCTCTGAAGTGTTTATATTCAACATATTAACTTCTCCATGCGCCGATGTATTTCCTTTTTCAGAACTTTTGCTTTACATTGTGTATGTTTCAACAAAGCTTGCTTTATCTGTGTGGTGCCATTCAAATTCGTCTTCCTCTTCTTTGGAGCCTGCAGAATGGTTTCCTCGGATGCTTTGTTTGATCAAATATTAGAAATGAATCTAAGAACATTAATGACCAACTGAAATGTCATGACACATATCGGATTTCCCAGGTCACTGAAGAACAGGGACGACACAGGAGTGGATGCCGTCTGCAGCTACAGAAACCACCTCGCATCTCCCAGGTTTGGCAGAGAAAAGGTTTACCATGAGCTGAGCAATATGACAAAGAACATCACCCAGTTAGGACTCTACACTCTGGACAACACGAGCCTCTATGTCAATGGTAATCAAGTGTTGTTGGTTTTTCCTTGCGCTACCGGGAAATATTTGCATGGCTCCTTGTTTTGATGTAGACCATCTTGAGATGGGAATTGACAGTTAAATATCCTCCAAAAATAGACAACCAAAATTGGAATCCACATAGTTAAATAATCCAATAAATACCCATGAGTTCTAAAGCCTTTAATAACGAAAGATAAGTGACTTCGTCTAGCAGCTCTGCGTTTGCTTGGTGCATGGAGACATGCCAGGGACATGCAAGCAGAGGAAGAAATGCTGTGGGTGACTCTGTAGGTGGTATTCCTTCCCAGTCAAGATTGGACAAGGCCTCAGATCAGCAAAATATCTCAACATGGGCTTAGTTCCAGTCTTATTGGCAAAGCATTTCAGCATTTGCATAACCTTATGCACATACTTAACTCACGATGAAGTGTGGGCCTGAAGATAAACATGAGCGTAACCGCTTTGGTGAATAGGAAAAGGCTGCTAGAGGCTGCATCTTGGCTCTAAAGCTGGAGCGGGAGAGGTGCTGGCCATGTGGAAGGAGACCCTAAGCGCCCCAACATGACATTACAGGGCTCTGTGCTGATGGGGGTAAAATCGAATTCAGGACCCGGGGATCCTACATCACTTTTCAAAGGAGGAGGCCTCTTAATGTGATATGATAGGGGTTTCCAAGAATCTAAAAGGGTGTTATAAGGAGGAGGGAGAAAATTGTTCTCCTTGGCCTCTGAGGATAGAACAAACAGCAATGGGCTTAAACTGTAGCAAGGGAGGTTTAGGTTGGACACGAGGAAAAACTTCCCGCCTGTCAGGGTGGTTAAACACTGGAATAAATTGCCTAGAGGGGTTGTGGAATCTCCATCACTGGAGATATTCAAGAGCAGGTTGGACAGACACCTGTCAGGGAGGATCTAGACAGTGCTTGGTCCTGCCGTGAGGGCAGAGGACTGGACCTGATGACTTCTCAAGGTCCCTTCCAGTTCTATTGTTCTATGATTCTATGATTAACATTAGAGGCTTTGATGCAGTTCTTGTGTAGGTACTTACATTTCCTTTGGCAGGTTAAAACATTATTGTCTGCTGGCTCCATTTTGATGAAGAGTTTTGGAATCCTTCAGAAGGACAACCACTCTATCAATGTGCTATTGCTGTTAGTTTAGTATTGGTCTTGTTGTGATGGAATGCACCCCTATATCCATACCCTACACACTATTGTTACAAAATATGTCTGGTAAGGTGTCATTTAAAAGCTAATAACTTGCTGGTCAATCTTCTCATGCTACAACACACGTAGCAACCCTGCCTGTGAAGTTATAAAATTCCTCTGTATGATGTTATTAGCCTCTGTTCCAAACCCAGAGTCCTATGAGGCAGAAGTCATCAAACGGGTCTGTCCTGAACAAAGGAACGTGCATTAGCCTTAATTTGAATGTAAACAGTAAACAGAGTTATGAGGCAGAACGGGGGCAGGGAGGGAACCTGCACGTGAGCATACACATGTGAAAAAACTCACCAGGAAGCAGCCTTCCACACTAGACATACCATCTTCTTGTTCTCAGAGAGAAATGGTTTTCAAAATGGAGGCAAACTTCCAAAAGGAGAGCCACTGACCTCAAGTGTCTCTCCTTGTCCATCTCCCACTTTGTACCTCAGAAGACAAAAGAAAACAGTCGCAAGACTTTCGGGGAAGGGTCCTGCCCTGATACGTTTGGTCCATAAGGCTGTGAGAAGGATGGGGGGTGGGGACGGGTCTTTGAATCAAGTGTAGTTTGTTAAGTTAGGCAGTAGGAAGTATTTTACCTTTATTTTTCTTGTAGCCATTTCTAACTTGTAGGCATCATTGCTTGTGCTCATTTAAGATCTTTCTCTTTGTGGTGATAGAAGATTGAATTGCTTGTTAATTAAAACGAATCCAGCGTAGTTAAGTTAAATTGTCTGGGTAACTTCGTTTCAGGTAGCAAATTGTTCTTTGTTGTTGCTTTAAAGGTCCAATAGACCTAACACCTCTGGATGGTCCAAGAGAGGGCTGGATAATACAGAGTGTATATTTGAGTGGGGCTGGGGGGAATCCAGGCCTGGCAGTGTGTCGGGATCACCTTGCTGGATAACCAAGATGGTAAATGCCTGTGCGTGGCTGGCGTGTTGCAGTTACACTGACACTGAAATATGCAAGGTGTGACTTGCATGATGCAAGGCTGTTTGTGAGTAGCCCAGGTTGGAGCTACTGCAGGAAAGGACTGTAAGGCACCCATAGGTTCACGGTAGGGGTAAGACTGATTCGGATTGCCCCCTGGTATGTCACAGTGGGGTTATAGCAATTCCACTTCCACTCAAATTCTGGAAAAACTCTCATTTCAGCATCGATTCTTTACTCACTATCTTCCTGGCCCTCTTTCCTAATGCCTGACCCTTTCTTTTCCAGGTTACAATGAACCACTTACTCTCCCATGTAAGTATTCTTCAGAGGAGACTTGTTAAAATCACTGAAAGAGTGATGTTTTCAAGGACTTAGTAAAATCAAATTGTGCACAAAATCAAGCACTGCTATTGCACTGCCCATTAAATCACTAAGGAGACCAACATCCCTGGAAACAACTCATGTCATGTAGAGTGTATCTGTTTCAGCTGACAGAGTCTTTCCTGCTGTGTCTTAAGGGAATTTTATTCTTTCCTATTTCAGCTGCAAAACCATCCACCACACAAAGCCCACTACCAGCCACGGAGCTTTTCACACTGAACTTCACATTAACCAACCTCCAATACACCCCAGATCTAGGGAATCCTGGTTCTCCCAAATTCACCTCGACACAGAAAATAATGCTTCATTATGTAAGTCTGGCTCAGTCACTCCATGCTTCCCAATTTATAGATCTCTCGCTTCTCTCTTTCTCTCAATGAGTCACTTACAAACCCCTTTCTCTGATAGATGGATTTTCTGCTCACAAACAGCAGCATTGGCCCTGCCTATACAGACTGCAAAATAATGGCATTTAGGTAAGAATGGTTTTATGTACATTGAATTGACAGGCTAATAACTGATGGGCTGCGTCTAGACTGGTATGATTTTCCGCAAATGCTTTTAATGGAAAAGTTTTTCCGTTAAAAGCATTTGTGGAAAAAATCGTCTGGATTGGCACGGATACTTTTGCGCAAAAGCACTTTTTGCAGAAAAGCATCTGTGCCAATCTAGACGCAGTTTTGCGCAAGAAAGCCCCGATCGCCATTTTCGCCATCGGGGCTTTTTTGCTCAAAATGGTTCTCAGCTGTCTACACTGGCCCTCTTGCGCAAAAGCATTTGGGCAAAAGGGCTTTTTCCCAGACAGGAGAGTCATTGTATTTGCGGAAGAACACTGACAATCTTACATTAGATCGCCACTGTGCTTACGCAAATTCAAAGCGGACAGTGTAGACAGCTGACAAGTTTTTCGCAAAAGCGGCCACTTTTGCAGAAAAACTTGTCAGTCTAGATGCAGCCATGATGTATAGTTCCTCTCCCTTTGCCTTATTATTTATAATAGCCATGTATCTAAGTACCACCAATGTCAGGTATGTACCATGCAACACCTAAATAGTATTGAGCATAGCTGCCTTCCAAGAAGTTGACCTGCGTTTGTTTCCCAGCCAATGAAAAGGGGGAAGACCACACCCAATGTCCTCGGAGAGGTTTTTAGGGAGGTTGTGTAATCTCCACCTCTGGAGGTATTTAAGAGCAGGTTAGATAGACATCTATCAGGGATGGTCTAGATGGTGCTTGGTCCTGCCATGAGGGCAGGGGAATTAGACTTGATGACCTCTCGAGGTCCCTTCCAGGATTCTAGGATTCGAAACACCTGGAAAGACACTAAAAATTTCTCTGTGCTCTTAGATGCTCTTTGTTTCATACACTTGATTTCATCATGTGATATTTCATTGAGCTACTTTTATCTCCATATTCAAACAGCTATCCTGTCCTTAGGGATAGGGTGGCTTGAGGTAGTTTTTTTTACTGTCATATTTAAGCAATGAACACAGATATTGGCACTAACAGAAACATTCCTAATCTCTTACTTCCTAGGTCGGTGATGAACAGGGACGACACGGGAGTAGACGCCGTCTGCAGCTACAGGAATGACCCCACAGCACCCACGTTTGACAGAGTGAAGGTTTACCGTGAGCTGAGCAGCATGACGAAGAACATCACCCAGTTAGGACCCTACAACCTAGACAAGAAGAGTCTCTATGTCAACGGTAAATGGATGATGGTCTGACACCTCCAGCAAAAAATATATAGTACAACAAGTTCTCTTCCCACAGCAGAGAAGCCAGGCCAGAATCTAGTCAAATATTTGTGAGCTCGGTACTTGGCACCCCATAGAAACACACCTCTATGGGAGTGATGGCCACGATACAAGGATGGAAAATAAAGGGAAGTGAGGACTGACCAGCTCAGTTGGGCCTCAAACTCCCAATCATCAGGGCCCTAAAACATGACCTTAACTTTCAGCACAGAAGCATCCCATTAACATTTATGGAATAACTTGTGCTTAAAGATAAGCATGAGCTAAAGGGCTTTGCTGAATCGTGGCCTTATTCAAGATCATGGGTAAAATGTTCCAAACACCTACTTCGGTTAGGAGATTGATTCCCAGGGATTTTCTGGGTGTAGGCTACTGAGGCCTAAAGGCCCTTCCAAAATATCGATGTTTTGTCCCATTTTCCAATGGACGTGGTGACGTGGGAGACAACACCCCAGTGGGATTTAGTCTCCCAGCTCACTACGGTATTTCTGAGCATTTTATCCCAGTGGTGCACTGGTATCTCCCCCTTGCAGTTCCTTGTGATTATGGAAAAACACACCTCTTGGTAATCAACGGGGTTCCTTACTTCATAGCGACACTTTGCAGCACTTGGCCTGTGGGGGTACATTCCTGAGTTATCTCTTCAATTCGTACACTCTCATCCACAGCCCCTTTTCTGAATGATAATCTCTGTTCCTTTCCAGGATACAACGAAGCCCTTCTTGAGCCAAGTAAGTGATTTATTAAATTAATTCATGTGAAAGCTATCACAGGGCTTGTCAACTCTGGAGAATTAGTGGGCAAGGAATTCTTGAGAGCACTGGATGAGTGTAGAGCCGTATTAGGATAGAGGGTGGCTGTGAAGATGAAGTATCAGAGGGGTAGCCGTGTCAGTCTGAATCTGCAAAAGCGACGAGGAGTCCTGTGGCACCTTATAGACTAACTGAAGTGTTGGATCATAAGCTTTTGTGGGCAAAGACCCACTTCGTCACATGCATGCATATGAAGATGAAGAAGGCTTCTTAGGTCGTTCAATTACGATTCTTTATCTCGTTCCTTACAGCTCTGAGTCCAACTATCCCACAAAATCCAACCGATGCGCATTTCTCACTGAACTTCACCTTAACCAACCTCCGCTACACTCCAGACCTGGCGATTCCTGGATCCCCCAAATTCAATTCGACAGAGAAAATAATGCTCTATTATGTAAGTCTAACAGGGACACAACCTGCCCAGGCTATTTCATTTACTGGCTCTTGTGCTCTGCCTCTGTGCCCTCTCCCTTCGCCACCCCTCCTGTTCCCCCCACGTGTTACTCAGGAAATGATCTTTTCATTGACAGATTGATCCTCTGGTCAGAAACAGCAGCATTGGCCCTGACTTCTCAGGATGCAAAGTGATGGCCTTTAGGTAAGGAACAGATTCTTCTTCAAATACATTACAGTGTAGGGCTTTATACACATTGGATTGCCAGGCTAATAGCCAAAATTGTATAGTTCCTTTCCCTGTACCGTAATACTTAGAATATCCATGTATCAAACTTCCCGCAACATCTGGCATTTATAATGCAACTCTGTAGGACGTGGAAAGACAGTGAAAGCTGCTCTGTGCTCTTAGATGGTCTCCGTTTCATACACTTGACTTCATACCGTGATATTTCAGTTAGCTCCTCTTACTTCCACATTCACACAACTATCTGTCCCCTGGGTAGGGGGACTTGAGTTAGTTCTTTTTACCATCATATATAAGGAACAAAGACAGAGAGTGACACTGACACAAACCTTCCTAACCTCTTACTTCCTAGGTCGGTGATGAACAGGGACGACACGGGAATAGATGCCGTCTGCAGCTACAGGAATGACCCCACAGCGCCCAGGTTTGACAGAGTGAAGGTTTACCGTGAGCTGAGCAGCATGATGAAGAACATCACCAAGTTAGGACCCTACAACCTGGACAAGAAGAGCCTCTATGTCAACGGTACGTGGCCGATGGTCTGACACCTCCGGGCAATGCTCACGGAACACGTGAATGCCAAAGATGAAAGGCCTGAAAAATATACAGCACAACAATGACATTCTCATAGCAGAGCAGCCAGGCCAGACCAGAGTAAAGTATTTGTGAGCTCGGAGGACAGCTGTTTTCCTTGCACCCCATGGAAACACGCTTCCATTAGAGAGATGGCCACCATACTAGGACAAGATAAATTCCCAAGGAGATGGATAGGGGACATGGAAAACAAAGGGAAGTGAGAGCTGGAGGGCTCAGTTGGGCCTTAGGCTCCCATTCATCCGGCACTGAAGCATGACCTTAATTTTCAGCACAGAAGTTTCCCATTAATGTTTATGGAATAGCTTGGAAAACAAAGGGAAGTGAGAGCTGGAGGGCTCAGTTGGGCCTTAGGCTCCCATTCATCCGGCACTGAAGCATGACCTTAATTTTCAGCACAGAAGTTTCCCATTAACGTTTATGGAATAGCTTGAGCTTAAAGACAAGCATGAGCAAAAGGGCTTTGCTGAATCGTGGCCTTATTTAGTGTAATGAGTAAAAAGTTCTAAACACCTATCTCAGTTAGGAGATTGAATCCCAAGGATTCTGAGGTCTAAAGGCCCTTCCAAATATCGACGTTTTGTCCCATTTTCTAATGGATGTGGGAGACAACACCCCAGTGGGATTTAGTCTCCCAGCTCACTACGGTATTTCTGATTATATTATCACAGTGGTGCACTGGTATCTCCCCCTCGCAGTTCCTTGTGATTATGGAAAAACGCACCTCTTGGTAATCAACGGGGTTCCTTACTTCATAGCGACACTTTGCTGCACTTGGCCTGTGGGGGTACATTCCCGAGTTATCTCTTCAATTCGTATACTCTCATCCACGGCCCCTTTTCTGAATGATAATCTCTGTTCCTTTCCAGGATACAACGAAGCCCTTCTTGAGCCAAGTAAGTGATTTATTAAATTAATTCATGTGAAAGCTATCACAGGGCTTGTCAACTCTGGAGAATTAGTGGGCAAGGAATTCTTGAGAGCTCTGGATGAGTGTTGAGCCGTATTAGGATAGAGGGTGGCTGTGAAGATGAAGTATCAGAGGGGTAGCCGTGTCAGTCTGAATCTGCAAAAGTGGCGAGGAGTCCTGTGGCACCTTATAGACTAACTGAAGTGTTGGATCATAAGCTTTTGTGGGCAAAGACCCACTTCGTCACATGCATGCATATGAAGATGAAGAAGGCTTCTTAGGTCGTTCAATTACGATTCTTTATCTCGTTCCTTACAGCTCTGAGTCCAACTATCCCACAAAATCCAACCGATGCGCATTTCTCACTGAACTTCACCTTAACCAACCTCCGCTACACTCCAGACCTGGCGATTCCTGGATCCCCCAAATTCAATTCGACAGAGAAAATAATGCTCTATTATGTAAGTCTAACAGGGACACAACCTGCCCGGCCTATTTCATTTACTGGCTCTTGTGCTCTGCCTCTGTGCCCTCTCCCTTCGCCACCCCTCCTGTTCCCCCCACGTGTTACTCAGGAAATGATCTTTTCATTGACAGATTGATCCTCTGGTCAGAAACAGCAGCATTGGCCCTGACTTCTCAGGATGCAAAGTGATGGCCTTTAGGTAAGGAACAGATTCTTCTTCAAATACATTACAGTGTAGGGCTTTATACACATTGGATTGCCAGGCTAATAGCCAAAATTGTATAGTTCCTTTCCCTGTACCGTAATACTTAGAATATCCATGTATCAAACTTCCCGCAACATCTGGCATTTATAATGCAACTCTGTAGGACGTGGGAAGACAGTGAAAGCTGCTCTGTGCTCTTAGATGGTCTCCGTTTCATACACTTGACTTCATACTGTGATATTTCAGTTAGCTACTTTTACTTCCACATTCACACAACTATCTGTCCCCTGGGTAGGGGGACTTGAGTTAGTTCTTTTTACCATCATATATAAGGAACAAAGACAGAGAGTGACACTGACACAAACCTTCCTAACCTCTTACTTCCTAGGTCGGTGATGAACAGGGACGACACGGGAATAGATGCCGTCTGCAGCTACAGGAATGACCCCACAGCGCCCAGGTTTGACAGAGTGAAGGTTTACCGTGAGCTGAGCAGCATGATGAAGAACATCACCAAGTTAGGACCCTACAACCTGGACAAGAAGAGCCTCTATGTCAACGGTACGTGGCCGATGGTCTGACACCTCCGGGCAATGCTCACGGAACACGTGAATGCCAAAGATGAAAGGCCTGAAAAATATACAGCACAACAATGACATTCTCATAGCAGAGCAGCCAGGCCAGACCAGAGTAAAGTATTTGTGAGCTCGGAGGACAGCTGTTTTCCTTGCACCCCATGGAAACACGCTTCCATTAGAGAGATGGCCACCATACTAGGACAAGATAAATTCCCAAGGAGATGGATAGAGGACATGGAAAACAAAGGGAAGTGAGAGCTGGAGGGCTCAGTTGGGCCTTAGGCTCCCATTCATCCGGCACTGAAGCATGACCTTAATTTTCAGCACAGAAGTTTCCCATTAACGTTTATGGAATAGCTTGAGCTTAAAGACAAGCATGAGCAAAAGGGCTTTGCTGAATCGTGGCCTTATTTAGTGTAATGAGTAAAAAGTTCTAAACACCTATCTCAGTTAGGAGATTGAGTCCCAAGGATTCTGAGGTCTAAAGGCCCTTCCAAATATCGACGTTTTGTCCCATTTTCCAATGGATGTGGGAGACAACACCCCAGTGGGATTTAGTCTCCCAGCTCACTACGGTATTTCTGATTATATTATCACAGTGGTGCACTGGTATCTCCTCCTCGCAGTTCCTTGTGATTATGGAAAAACGCACCTCTTGGTAATCAACGGGGTTCCTTACTTCATAGCGACACTTTGCTGCACTTGGCCTGTGGGGGTACATTCCCGAGTTATCTCTTCAATTCGTATACTCTCATCCACGGCCCCTTTTCTGAATGATAATCTCTGTTCCTTTCCAGGATACAATGAAGCCCTTCTTGAGCCAAGTAAGTGATTTATTAAATTAATTCATGTGAAAGCTATCACAGGGCTTGTCAACTCTGGAGAATTAGTGGGCAAGGAATTCTTGAGAGCACTGGATGAGTGTTGAGCCGTATTAGGATAGAGGGTGGCTGTGAAGATGAAGTATCAGAGGGGTAGCCGTGTCAGTCTGAATCTGCAAAAGTGGCGAGGAGTCCTGTGGCACCTTATAGACTAACTGAAGTGTTGGAGCATAAGCTTTCGTGGGCAAAGACCCACTTCGTCACATGCATGCATATGAAGATGAAGAAGGCTTCTTAGGTCGTTCAATTACGATTCTTTATCTCGTTCCTTACAGCTCTGAGTCCAACTATCCCACAAAATCCAACCGATGCACATTTCTCACTGAACTTCACCTTAACCAACCTCCGCTACACTCCAGACCTGGCGATTCCTGGATCCCCCAAATTCAATTCGACAGAGAAAATAATGCTCTATTATGTAAGTCTAACAGGGACACAACCTGCCCAGGCTATTTCATTTACTGGCTCTTGTGCTCTGCCTCTGTGCCCTCTCCCTCGACTCAGGAAATGATCTTCTCTTTGACAGATTAATCCTCTGGTCAAAAACAGCAGCATTGGCCCTGCCTTCTCGGGATGCAAAGTGATGGCCTTTAGGTAAGGGATCTGGTGTGAGGCTGTTTCTCTTGTTCTCTCAGACACTGGTTGGTCCAGGTCTTTATAACCCACATGTTCCCCCTATGTTCGATCTGCCTGTGCAGCCTTAAGTCTTCATTTGTCCTCCCCTGTCTCTCTCATGCCAATGTTCTCATTGAATTTGGAAAGTCGGTCAAAATCACCCCGTCAATCTTCATGATTTCATTTAGCACTGGCTCTGTGGATCCAAACCCTGAGACTCTGCAATGATTGATTTTATCTCTGACTCCCAACGTCAGCTTCTGCAGTAACAAAGACGGCCGGGGATTTTGTGTCCATGTCAGCCAAGTCTCAAAGCTCCCGTGTGATTCTATAGGTCTGTGAATAACAAGGATGACACCGGAATCGACGCCATCTGCAGCTACAAAACCAGCCCCCCCGTCACCCTGCTTGACAGAGTTAAGCTTTATCATGAGCTGAGCGGCATGAGCATGGGCACCACCAAGCTGGGAGCATACACCATGGAGAAGAACAGCCTTTATGTGAACGGTAAGCCTCCAGAGAGAACATCAAGCTTTAATAGGTCCCCTAGAGGCTTTAATTGATGCTGTCACTTCCCTGGGGCTCGAGCTCTAGTGGCGCACGATGAAATTCCCCTTCTGTTGACCATTTCCAGTTTCTGGCTTTGGCACCAGGACGAAGCCAGTCCAGCCTGTCGGGAGACTCTTCCTTTAGCTACATCCAAGAGCTCACTGTTGTGTTCCTCTTGATTACACAAGGACGCGGTCTGATTGCCTGTCAGGTGGCTAATTCTGCTGTCAAAAACGTCCTTAACACTTTTTCCAATGTATTTATTTAGGCTTCCGTCCCTCAGATGTAGCTACTACTACAAACCCTTCTCCCACGGGGACTCCAGGGAATGTGGGATATCAGTTCAACTTCAGAATAATCAATGCAAACCTGAGCGACACAAATCCGAGTTCTGAGTTCTACCAAGCACTGCAGAAAGACATCACCACCAAGGTGAGATGCCACCTTGCAGAAGCTTTTCTGGCCAGTCCATCTGATGCTCACACCCACTTCCAGAAACAGTTTGATTAAAGTGTTGCCATTCAACATGGTGACTAAGAAATTGTCAGTGTTTCAAATTTCCATCAGTTCAGCTGCCACTGGCTGGGTGTTGCGCAAAGTGACTCATGAGCAGCTGCAGGATTTGTTATGATAGAAGGGATCCCCACTCTTCAGTGCATTCACAAGAGTTGATCACCAGTAAAAAAGACAAGTGTGAGGCAAGGCAGAGGCCATCTATTAAACCCAGTCTGTTGGCACCTGAACCTTAATGACCAAATTCAGGAGTAGGCCCAAACTGATCCCAACTGGTGAGTGAGCTACAGGTCCTCCTCCATGCCTGCCCCATAGAGCACTCCATTACACCCCTCCCTAGAGAAAGTGCAACGTTAGCTCTGCAGGTTGTCCCTTCAACGGCTGGAGCGATAACCAAGTTGGCAGCCCAGAGATCCACCTGGGGTGGTGATGGGATCAGAGGAGACAAAGGGCTGCCCTGCTCAAAGTCAGTTGGAACAGTGGGAACACTTACAACAAGATGCACGTTTCAAATGTAGACTCAGTCACATCTCCAGCCAGCCGAAAGCATCTGGCAGGAGGCCCCCTGCCTCTTGGTAATAACAAATTCTGTGTTTGTTTCAGATGAACCAGCTGTACACAAAGAGCAACCTTACAGACAGATTCCTGTTTTGCAATGTCACAGGCTTGAGGTTAGTGCGACGATTCAGTTGGTTATGAAACCGCATAGATGCTCAGGCCATTCTCTGGGCACCATGCTCCCTTGCTCTGGGCAGAATTCCTCTGAGTGCCCAAGTTTGCCATTCAGTTTATTTCCTACCCCGTCTGAATAACGTGCAGGAGCCAGCCCCTTACCGCTTCCCTCTCCCAAACATGCCGAGGTTTAAATATCAGGGATTAAAATCAGCGAAAGGCTTGAGGCCCTGCCTCATGCCTGTGCCTTAGGGGTCAGACTCTACTTCTGGGAGCAAGTCTGGCTATTCAGGGGCTCTCCAAGAACACGCCTGGGTTCAGAGCAGCTCTGCCAGCCCTGGGAAGTGCTGCTGGTGCCAACAAACTGCCTGTGTCCTTACCGGCATTTCATGCAATTCGCCTTCTTCACACACCTGGGGTGGCAGAGAGACTCGAGGTACAGGACTCCCCAGCTCTCTCTCCTCCAGACAGGAGCCCCCTCCCCTCTCCTTCCCTCCTCCGAATCTGTCCCAGGCTGGTGGGCACCAAAAGTCCCAGCAGCTTGTGGCTGGTAAGGAATGAGCTGGGTGGTTCTTACTCCAGTTCCTAAAAGATGTGTCCACATCAATCCCCCCACCCTACCTCCCCAGGGATCCTTGCCTGGGATTTTCAAGGGGAGTTAAGCACTGACATTCTTGGGGTTTGAACACCTAACTCCACTAGGGCCCCTTTGAAAATCCCAGTGCTTGTTGGCAATCTCTGTGCTGGGTTCGATCACAGAAGTCCCCTGCTGTTGTCCCTTGGTGGGTTGATCATACCACCAACGCCGCTTTCTTGCTATCTGGGGAAATCCTGCTGGGCCAGATCCTCTGTTGTACCCCAGACAAGGCACGGAGCTGGGGTTACCACTGCCCTGCAGAGCAACACAGACACTGAACCAGCTCAGCTCTAAGGGCTCAGCCCCAGGAAACCAACCCCGAAAAGGAACCCAACCCCCAAATAAATCCCTGTTAATCTGGGTAAGTTTTACAGAGACAGCTCATAAGGTCAGCCCCCTTTGTCAATGAAAGAGGGGGATGCAAAGTGGTTGCTTCCCCCTTCCCCTGGGCTAATAATAAACAAACACGTTTTGATTATTTACAAAATGTAGAATTTAAGAGGTTGCACGTGGAAACAGTCAGATCAAGGTAATTAAAATGAACAAAAAAAGGCATCGCTAGTTCTAATCCACTAAGACACGTGTTAGATGCCAAATCTTACCCTAATCAGCTGTTCTTATCTCAGGGAGAAAGCTTCCTCAGAGTTGATCCTCGGCTTTTCAGAGCTCTTCACTGTCAAGTATTCTCTTGGGGTGGGCCAGGCAGGGTCAAAGGCCAGCTGAAGACAAGGACTGATGGCTTCCCACTGCTTAAACAGACTTTCCCTCAGGGTGGGAGTCCCTTTGTAGGACACCCCCCACCTCCAGGGAAAATGCCAGGTTCAAGGTGGAGGGCATGGTCACATGTCTTTCTAGGACCAACCACAGTTTGGCTTTCAGGACAAAGAAGGACAAGTCATCGGTTTGAGAACCAAGTCATTAGGTACTCAAAGTACCACTAATGGCCTCATTAGCACATTTAGAATGGTGCACAGACTCACGCTGCATATTTCTAACTTCACATAGGATGAGACGTGCCCCAAAACAGGATATACACGTTCAGCAGATTGTAACATTAAAATGGATCGGTTTTGTGAGGTATTTGGTCTTAGGCGTCTTTGAGTTATGCATATTCATATTTATGAGCCAGTTTTCATAAAGCTTGGGGGGGCATGACAATCTCAGCAGAGGACACAGAGCTGAAACCCCTCTCTTTTAACACCCCCTCCCCCGAGCTGGCCCCTGTCGGTTTAGGAAGGCTGGTGTGAGACTTTGGAAGGGGGCAGGTGGCTGGTCTGTGGCTACAGAGAGACCCTCTGTTCTCCAGGGCTGTAGCCAGCACTACGTTAATGTCAAACCTCCATGAACATTTCAAATAGCTGTGTGGCCCTAAAAAGGTGATCGTTGAATGTGTAAGAGCCTGCGCCTCTCTGCTTCCAGGATTGGCTCGGTCGTGGTCGACTGCCATTGCTTCTTCACGTCAGCGACCAGCTTCAGCCAGGAGAGTGTTCTAAGCGCGTTTCAGGCTGGAACTAAGAACGTAAGCGCACAATGGCTGGAAGGCCGTTACCAGCTGCAGAACGCCACAGTGACCGGTACGTATGCTGCATGGGAGAGCCCGCTGCTCAACTTCCATTCTGGCTAATCCACATTCCCACGGTACATTCGAAAGCTTCTGCCTCCAAGTCCTTTCTTCACCTCCACTGAGAACTGGCCACTTCCCTGGTCTCAGCTCATGAATTCCCAGAGCGCAAGAGCCAGTTTTGTGGCTCATCGAGTTTGGCTCCATCCAACATGTCAGGTCTCCACGCTCAGTCTTCCATTGCTAGGCAAGGGGAGGGGGAATTGAATCCGTCCACTGGGATTTCGTAATGTTTGGACAGTTTGAATTTTTAAAATGACACACAAAATCCCAAAGCAATGACAGGAAGGGTTTTAAACACTTTGAAGTGGGGCCTTTCAAATTCCCAAGCCCCCGGGGAATTCAAATGTAGCTAATGCCTCGAGGTTCCTTCCAGTCTTCCAACTTGAACCAGAACAGCACCTCTAGGCCAATGGGCCTTTGCCTGCACCTCTTCGCCGTATTGTTGACTGGCTTCTTTTCTTCAGTCTCAGTTTTGGAGCCAGAAATCAAACCAGCGACTCGGCCACCTGTCAGTGCTCAGCAGGAGACTTTCAAGTTAAATTTCACCATCACTAACCTGAATTACACGTCAGATCTGAACCAACCCACCTCAGATCTTCATCAGAAACACAAGCAGAATATTGAGAAAGAGGTAAAGTTCTGTGGTTCTGCAAATGGGTCCAATCCTGGTCCCATGGGAACTTTGTCATTGGTTTCACTAACAGCAGAGACAGATTCCTTTCTCTGGTTCTAAGCTAACTTGCTACACTCCTGTTAATGCCACCTTGTAATATTTGCTTTCCTTCTCCTCCCAGCTTGACAACATTTTCAGAAAAAGCAGCATCGCGAAGTACTTCACTGGCTGTTCCGTTGACAGTTTTAGGTATGTCCCTTCTCAGGGGCTGCTCATTGGTTTCACTAACAGCAGAGACAGATTCCTTTCTCTGGTTCTAAGCTAACTTGCTACACTCCTGTTAATGCCACCTTGTAATATTTGCTTTCCTTCTCCTCCCAGCTTGACAACATTTTCAGAAAAAGCAGCATCGCGAAGTACTTCACTGGCTGTTCCGTTGACAGTTTTAGGTATGTCCCTTCTCAGGGGCTGCCCCTTTACCTGCCAGTGAAATGCTTATTGAAAGTCTGACTGGGGAGCCTATGGAGGGTCACATGATGTGAGGGTATTGCGTTTGTCTTTCTGCCCTAAGGCAAACCCCAGTTAGATGCATGGGGCGGGG